GAAAGCAAGCCCAGGAAAACAGATGGGGCCAGATTATGAAGGCCCATGGAATTTCAACCTTCTCCTTTGCAATAAGCAGCCACTGCAGGCCAAGCTCCTCCAGCGAAAAAGGAAGGAGAGAAGGGTCTAATGTCGGCCCCACGCCCAACACCACGGGTGGCAATGAAGTATCACGACACGACTCAATTTTTTTTTATATATGAGAGTAAGATACAGACAAATGGGCAGTGGAGGAAGAAGAGGTCTCTGGACCAACCTGGAGACTACTGTTACCACAGTACAACAATGATAATAAAACCACAGACCGTATTTGAGAAATTTCAAACTAAGACAAATGCAAATACTGTATTAGAGTAAAAACGTCTTCCTGTTGTAATCAGTATCTAGACTTCAAAACATATTGAGGGCTGGGACCAGCAAGTGGCGTGATGGTTAAGGCACTGGACACTCCCACATGGCAGACCACGGTTTGAGTCCCCAGACCTGGAGGCTTGCTTTCTCACGTTCTCTCTCTCTGTGGCTCTCTCTGGTCAAATTAAAAATAAATAAATTAATGAAATTAAATAAATAATTATTTAAAATATCTGTCTATCAAGGGTGTCTATGAACCTTACATCACATGTGCTGTCTAGCAACGCTATGCTCCTTATCCGATTACGAGTTCACAGAATAATAAAATGCGATAAAATTAGGCAAAATTGACACAACAAAATCATCATATATGGCATTCCCCTCTTACTTCTTGCCGTCATTTACAAACCAAGCCAGTGAACACTTATAAAAAACTTATAGTCACGATACAACGGTGATTTCTGGCAGGCACAAGATAGATGCATAGTTTACCAGGATAATAATTCATATCTCCTACTTACCATCCTAAGGCTTAGCATACATTGTTTTCTTTTTTCTTTCCAGTTTTTGTCTCATAGGTTTTTAGAAAAGTTAAGTACATATCCAAGTTCTCTGGATTTAACTAGTTGTTTACGGGTCAGGAAACATCTGGGGGCTGAGGAAACCCTTGTGTACCAAGGGAGCATAAACTCAGTGAGTCTTCTCAAGGGGCCGGCAGGTGGTATGGTGGTTAAAGGCTCTGGATTCCCACATGGCCAACCACGGTTCGAGTCCCAGGCCTGGAGGCTTACTTTCTCATTTTCCCTTTCCCTCTCTTTCTGTCTCTCTCTGGTCAAATTAAATAATAATAATAATAATAAATGAAATTAAACAAATAATTCTTTTAAAAAAATGTGTTTTGACCACTTGGCTTTTGTTCTGAGATTAAGGAATCCTATTCATAAAAGTCATTGAAAAGACAGAAATAGCAGAACACTCCATGGTTGCACATCAAAGCTGTTTTTAAGCAGAAAAAAGACTACTCTTTGTCCTTGGCTTTCTCTTTCAGTCTGTATTTTGTCTAAATAATCTTGCCCCTGCTACCATGAATTGCTACAATATATTACAACATCTCTGATCTTCCCTTTAGTGGAGGAATTACCTGAAAAGGAAAAGAACAACATGCTATTCTTGGCACACTGAAGAGCTGCTCTGATTCAGTGGTCAAGTCACAACCTCTGGGTGATTTTCCAGAGATGAGGGGGGACAGGCAGTGGGGGAGGGGGCACAGATTGTCCACATTTCTATCCAGTGAATCCCAGCTGATGATTCAGACAGGCTGGGAGGAGCCAGGCCTGGAAGCCATTTCTAGCTTTAGATTTCTGTTCATGCTGAAAAAGTCAGTGGTATGGATTTAGTGGTCTTTCCCAATGAGCAGAGCGCCAACTGGCTCAGCCACGAAAGTGTCTCAGTGTCTCCTCTCCCTCTCCAAATGTGTTGCATTAGGCTAGGCAACTGTGATGAAGTCTTCGCAAAGAGCGGAAGTATTTTCCAGGTAATCCTTAAACACGTATATATGAATCTGGAGGTCAACAGCTACTTCCAGAAACTGAAACCAGAATGAAGGATTCCATCCACACTCTATCTCTTGGCAGCCAAACCCTCAACACACGGGCAATGTAACAAACACAGTCCTTGAGCTTTTTGGTCCAGATAACTGTAAGAGCAAACCTCGACAGAGGCATAGAAGGACAGACAGCAAGGCTTAGAGGCATTTGGAAATCTTTGGGCCACGCTGAGAAATAAAATGGTCCCAACTATTGTAAAATATATAGAAAAGCTCTACGGTACTCGCAGTTAAGCTACTTTTTCTTTAAATGCTAAGGAAATCCTCTGTCTGCATTCACTTTTAGTGGAGTTGGTAGTGGTAGAAATACTTCAAGAGGAAAAGTTAAATTTTTGATGAGGAAAACATTTTTCCAAGGTCCTTTAGGGAATGCTTCATCATCTCCTGGCCCGATGTTTTTGAGTTTATTAACTGTAATAAAACACATACGTCATCCTGGGTAGCCCTTTTCATTAGAGGGTCTCAAAGCAAGACAATGCTCAATTAAGGGCCTAGTCACGGTTAGGTGCAGGGTGATGATTGCTGGGCCCAAGCAGGAACAAAGCAAATGTGCCCAATAATTTAAACCATGCAGGGAAGTTTCGTGTCTTCCCTTGAAAACAGGACTGCCACTGCTGACGGGCAGGAGAGGTAACCCTGGTGTTGGAAGCCGGGAGTGGAAAGAATTCAGGAAGGGAAGGGAGGTGGCCATCTTGCTGCCCTTTAGTGAGAACCCTCTCTCTGCCCCCCAAGCTGGATACAGCTGTTAGGGTGTGATGTCAGGTCCACTGGGGAGCCCTGACTTGGGAAGGCTGGAGGAAATGGGGCATTTGGCTCAAACAGAGGAGGGACCAGGGTCAGGGGTGGCTGTGGGGGCCTCTGCCTGGGGAAATCCCTGGGGAACCCATTCAGCTCTGTGACTAGCAAAGCCGCTTCCTTTTTCCCCTTCCTGCTCACTTCCCCTCCATTATCTCCATGCAGCATTCATTCCCTTACTGAGGCCCTGTTCCAGGCCAGGATCTCAGCTAGGGGCTAGAGGACAGACATAAGACAAAGAATAGTTTCCCAGTACCCCAAAGTTGTTTCTGAGGAACAGAGTCCTAAGGACACAGGACCAAGTGTTGCCCTCAAGGTACAAAGCCTGTGTTAAGGCAGATGAGACTCGGGACCCAAAGACCAAGATAGGATAGAACCCTGACCCTCCACATCAGTGGACAGACCAGGGGTCAGCTCATAAGAGGAAGAACTTCATGAATCAGAGCTGTCCAGAGAGCCAATGAGCTTCACTCGGGGTGTGAGGCTTAGTAAGACCCTGGCCGCTGGGGTTGTTGGAGAAAGACCCGATAGCCACCCCAGGGGATTGTCTGACAAGGTCCCTTCCAGCTCTATTAGTCTGCAGCTCCACAAGGGGCTGGTGTGCTGGGTTGGCAGTTCAGGTGGCTCAGTCGGCTGTGCTCTGACCCATCATGAGGGTGATGAAGGGGACGGATGGGGACCAGGTACGGGAAAAGGGCCCGGTGATGAGCAAGCCCCGGCCGCAGCAGCTCGGAGGATGAGAGGAGGTACAGAGGGTTGCCGCAAAGAAGCACCACACACTGAGTGCCTTTAAAGGACAGAAGTAATGTGTCTTCATTGTGAGGACTTGAGGTGCACAACCAAAGCACAGGCAGGCTGCCTCCCGCAGAGGGCTATTAGGGAGACTGTTACAGGTGTCTTGGCTGGCTTCTGGATCCCAGGCACTGCTCAGCGTGTAGAAGCACCAGTGCAATCCCGCAGGGTCAGGGGCCTTCTCCCTGTCTTGTCTTTGTGTGCCAAGGATGGGCCACATAATAGTGGTGGGCTCCTCCAGTCTCTATCCAACAGCTTGGCCAATGGTAAAAAGAGGCCAGAGTGATCCAATACGGACAATGTACAATTTCATAAAAGTCAATGTTCTGTGGTTTCATAATAGGTCTCTCAGGACCATCGCTGACCTTCCACGATTTTCAAACAGGGAGTTAAGTTTTGTATGCGAGTTAAATGGAAAGAGGAGACATGTTTCTCTGAAAGGCGGATAACATCTCCAGGAAGTGAAGTGACCTAGGAGTCTCAGTTTTCTGATCTACAAAACAGAAGTAACAATGAGGCGGTGGAAGAGAAGACGCTGGAGCGCTGGCCATGTCTGC